TTATTTCCAGAGATTCCAGGAAAGGAGTTATTTGAGATGATATCATGTCCAGTGAGTACTTTTAAAACCCGTCACTTTTGGCTGTCATTGCAATTCTTTTGTTAGAGAGAATAATAAGAAAAGCAGCTTTTATCTCTGTAGGTGAATCTTGCCTGATGTGCTGATTTGCAGAGGAAGATGGGCTGTACTCCTCCTCACCAGATCTGCATTACAGATTTCAGCTGTGCAGAGATGAATCCCTGGGCAGTAAGTGAGCCGGGTGCCTGCCCTGAGGCCTGCTCCTGCCACTTTGCAGGCCTGCCTGTGAGTTTAAGAGTGCTCTCAGTGTTGGTGTGTGCATAGTTCCTGCATTTTCAAGTCTATCATTTATCAACGTAATCAAATTAAGGTCCTGATTCTGTAGGCTAACGTGTTCTGATGGTTTCATTGCCACTGAAGGCCGTGGCAGAAGGAGAGTTACTGGTTTTCCTTGACAGGATTTAATTGAAGATCAGGATTTAAATAGGTTTTTCCAATGGAAATAACATCTGGTGTTCTGAAAAAACATTCATTGCCTTGGCTTTGGGAGTGTTCTCAGTTTTCAGCCTGTGCAAATGTATATTTGCATCAGTTTGCAGTGAGGTTGCTTACTAGATTTGATCATGAGGTAAAATCATAAGTACTGCTTTCTTGGACTTCAATTTTCAAATATGAAACAAGCCTGCTAGATGGGGGGTGGATAGGGAAGGAGAGCTAAACAAGTGAGAACATAGAAAATAAGTAAGCTATTGCTGTCAACAAACTAGCTATAGCAAGAAAGGTAACAGGACCTGGCACACGTCCAGAGAAGGGCAGTGAAGCTGTGAAGGGTCTGGAGCATAGGTCTTATGAGAAGCAGCTGAGGGAACTGGGATTGTTTAGTCTGGAGGCTCAGGGGAGACCTGATGGCTCTCCACAACTGCATGAAAGGAGGTTGTAACAAAGTGTGAGTCAGTCTCTGATCCCAGGTAACAACAATAGGATGAGAGGGATTGGCCTTAAGTTGCACCAGAGGAAGTTCAGGTTGGGAGAAATTTCTTCTCTGAAAGAGTGGTGATGCAGTGGCACAGGCTGTTCAGGGGGGTGATGGAGTCACCCTCCCTGGAGGTTATCAAGAAATGTGAAGATGTGACGCTGAGGGACATGGCTTAGTGGGCAATATTGGTGGTAGGCAGAAGGCAGGAATAGATGATCATAGAAGTCTTTTCCAACCTTAATGATTCTATTTAAGTCTGCTGATTACTTACATCTGATTGTGTCTGAAAAGTCTCCTTGGTGTGATGAGGTATATGATAAATATATGCTGATAAATTTTATGTACTTCTTGGTGCAATGGTAGAATCAAGTTGCAGTTAGTCTTATATTTATGGGAAAAAGTGTGAGAGCAGCTTCAAGCATTCATATGGAAAGGATGGTTCTTGTTGGCCTCTAATTCCAGGTGATGAGAATGGGCACTGGATGAATCCTGAGGAGATGAGAAAAAGAAGGGGAGTTATGGGTGGCCCTCACCTGCATGGGGTTAGGCAGCAGTCTCTCAGATGCAGCAGATGGTAAAAATTAATTCAGGTTAATGGTAAGGCACTGGTACACTGTAGAATGTGTTTTCTTCTGCCAGAATGCACACTGGAAGTGCCTTTAGCACAAAAAAAATACTGTGAGCAGGTTTTTATTCCCCATAGATAGTTTTACCTGGTGGGCTTGGCAATTCGAGAAGCCTCTCCGTTGTTGGTCGAGGGAAGGGTGTTGGAAGGGCATGCAGCCCAAGGCTGGTTGGGGCTTCTGCAGCACCAGCTGGGGGAGGGTATCTGGATCTGCCTAATGTGGTAAACCAGTATAAGCAGATATGTTTTTCTCCCTTTATAACTACTTCGAGGATTTAGGAATTGGCAAAAAGATTAAAATAGCACGTAGCTTACAGACTGATGTATTTAATTACGACACCATTAGAGATTACTCAGAATTCTGAGGCCCACGTGTAGCAGCCAGGCTGCTCTTTCCTCACACATTTTTATTTTGAAGTTCAAGGTATTTCTGGTGGGGGCACAGCTCTTGTGTGCACGCATCCGTGCACACATGGCCCTGCATGGATTATGTAAGGTTCCTAATTCCGACCGCTGGGATTTGCAGGCGGCGTGTTGACAGGAAATTAGTTTGTACCACTACGTGCCTTCGGAGAGTGATTTTCATGCAGTTGCAATGATGACATCAACTCACAGAGGTCAGGTTAAGGGGGGCAAAGGCAGTCGCTTGGCTGGAAGTTGGTTTTGGCAGCGCCTGCATGGGACTGGAGGGTTAATCATAATTTGTTTCTCCGACTGCTGTTTGCGTCAAAAGTCCAGGCAGCTTTAATGAAAGTTGCCTGTGTTAATTTGAAACCCTTGCTGGGAAATCATGGGAAAATGGAAAAAAGCGTACTTGCGTGTCACCCTTCAGATTAACAGCTTAGGCAGTGCTAGCGTTCTCGGGGCGTGCAATGCAACTCAGAGCGGCTTGTAAAGAGATCGCACATGCCTGCTGGGAATTTCATAGGGCATCCTCTGAAGCCAAAAGCTAATTTGCTCTAGACTCTGTGCTGAATATGGTGCATCGTATGATGACTTGGTGAGCTATGTCAGCAAAAGCACCAAAATTGAAAACTTCTGGTGTCACAGATCCCAGACATGTCTTCATTTGACAGTACTATTATTTTTGATATTTTTTCCGTATGTGGTTTTAAAATCTTAGTATTCCACTTCTAACAGGTAGTAACAGAACCCCTGCTAATATGCTGGTGTCCTCCCTCTGTTGTTGTTTGAGGAGCAGGATGCCATCCATGACTGCTTAACAGTGATTTTCTGATTATGCCCTAACTGTGTGAAACTGCAGGATATGTTCACCTCTAACAGTGAGAGTTTTCCTTGGAAACTTTTTTTTCTTTTAGTCTGATACTTGTAAGAGAAATGTTTATACTGGGGAAAGATGTAATATCCGTTCTAGTCACCTCTCTTTATAAACAGGTATTTCTTTGTTTCTTTAAAAAAAAACGTTTGACATCTCCCCCAGTGCCTTCTGGGTTCAGATCATCTCATATAACACTAACATTTTGGTCCCACTCCTAATGTTTTTCCCTTTGCTTAGCTTTTCCTTGTATGCAGCCCATGGGGTATAAAGCTGAGTGAATGTGAAACTAGTGCGAGATGGGAGGCCTGAATCCCACCTGAGACCAGCTTATGTTACAAAGTTGATTTTAATTTCCTTTCAGTTCTGTGTTCTTCGAAAAGCATTTGCCATCCTTGTGCAACACCTGAAGTGTTTTATCACGCTCAGCCCTCTGGAAAGCTAGGGGCTGTGACTCAGGGCTGTGTTAGACATGCTCTGATACCCCTTGGGAGTTCCTAGCTTGGCTGCAGCAAACCAAAAAGCTGACAACAAGCTGACCCAAGTCCCTTCTCTAATATTTGTTAGCAACCTAAAGACTCTCTTAGCCAGCATAGCTCCTCAAAGATACTTTCCAGGCTAGGTCTGATAAGTTAACTATTTTTCTCTGGTAAATTACAGAACCGGTTGCAGAACAGGAAAGCTACAGAGCTTATTAGGAGGAAATCTGTGCAGTGGTGGCAGTGGCATGTTGTGTTGGCTCCAGGGCTCTCAGGAGGCACATTGGCTGCCTTAGTGGTGGATGGCCGCACTGGTGCCAAGTGCCACAGCTGGATGGGGGCATCCTGCCTGCATCTGCTGGAAAAGCTCAGCGCTCACTGGCTTAGAGCTAATCTGTCTTCAGCGATCACAAACGAGAGAGGTTTATTTTTTTAAGCTGTATTTTAAATGGCATTTTAGCAGGTGCTGGGGGCCTTCCCCACAACTGGAGGTGGTGGTGGCCAACAGCCAGCTCTCAGGGCTCCCACTGCTTCACTTCAGCCCCTATATCTGAGTGAATGGTTGTCTGTGTACAGGCCTTGTATCTCCTAGGCACAGCATCTTTGAAAAAGTAAAACATGATCTGACCTATTTTTTAATAATATTTCAGAAATAAAGCCTCTTGATGCAGAATTAAAAGGATGTCATAAAGAACACAACCGCTGATGACATTTATTACTTATTGCAACACAGGTGCTTGGTCTTGGTTTAATTATGTAGTGTCTTCTGCATTCTTACAGCATGTGTGACCATGTATACACATGGGTATATATGTATGTGAGCACATACATTGTAAATGCCTAGAAAGAAGGTGGTATATCACTTATTCTTTTTTAAAATATTGGAAGGTTTAACTAATATACTGGTTTATTTTTGTAATATATTTTGCTACATCTATTTAAACAATTTTTTTCTGTAAACTACAATGTTACCAGGGCTAATTGCCTCAATAAATAAATAAATAAACACTTAGAATACTTTGTCTTGCCTCTTTAGGTGTTTCGCATATTGGCACTTTCAAATTGGAGTTTTCTGTTTCTCAGTCCTTCTTTCCTGGCATCAAAGGACTGACAATGCTATTTTGAAGGAGTTGGTATGCACTGAATTTGTACTCATTTGATGGAGAGGATGTACAAATATAGACCAACTCTGTAAAATACGTAACTAAGTAATTTTTCACCCAAGATGGTGTAAGCATTCACTTGCAGGATGCTGGAAATTAAAATCTGCCTGACTAGAAAAGAATCTGGATGGATCTGGTTATCTTAGAAATGTTTATTCCAGATATCCACATTCTGTAAAATCTTTACAACCTCTGCAGTAGGTTAGTAAGTAACAAACCTCATGTGGTTTCTGAATACCAAGCAATTTTTTTGAAGGACTGATTCTTCAACTTGCATTTACTAATTTCATATGATTGAAAGTATTTTACATTCAGGTATTGAAATTGAAAATAAAAATCAGAATTATATTAAACATTAAAAAAAGTGTATCCCTATAAATTGAATAGAACTCTAGATTTTTTCCTTTCTCCAAATTTCTGGGAAGGACAAACAAAAGCTGTAATTATTTTTTTTTTTATTCAGCTCTTCAGGTGCTGGGAATGTAGCAGACCGTGTCTTGGCTCAGCTGTTGACGGAAATGGATGGGATAGAGCAGCTGAAGGACGTGACAATTTTGGCAGCTACAAACAGACCGGACATGATAGACAAGGTACGAATTGATACAGTGTTGAATGCACCGTTCTCTTGAGAAGGCCTGATTCTGGAATAATTCCGTTCTCTTTGTTTACTCTGCAAACTGTTGTCTAATAATTTTACGATGAGGGTAGAAGTTGGAAAATGGTGGCAAGGCAAAGGAATGGTTTAAACGTCCCTGGCATTTTTTTCCCTATACAAATGTTTTAACAGAAACAAAATGTTTTGTGATATCCCCCAGTGTCTGTTTCCTAGAAGAAATTATTCTTAAATTGAGCTCATTGAACTTGTGCAGCAACATTTCTGTCAAACTGCTTTTGTGGGTTTTGCTTCTGTTATGTTTGTTTATGCAAGAGTTTGCTGGACTGCTGGTTTCATTAGTTACTTCCTTTCAAAAGATTAAATATCTCCTCCGTGCTGTTTGCCTGCTGCCAGCAGTGGGGGTTCCAGCTGCGGACAGCACGGTTTCTCCTTAAGTCTTGCAGCAGCCTTGCTGGAGAGACAAGTATGTAAAACCAGAATGGTTGTAACACTTAAAGCAGAAAGCCTCCAAATGCAAAACAAACCCAGCAGCCCTCTACAAAATCCACTTTAAAAGTCTGCCACTGCTGTGTCTTCTCACAGCTAAGTGCAGTAGACGGACCAGTCTGAAGTGATTTCCTTTAAGATATGTTTCGTGGTGTTGGTGAGGTTTCTTTATTCTGCAGCTTTTCACCTTCACAGCATTTGTGAATTTGATGACAAGCTAATGAAATTTATTTTTCCTGGTCTTTTGGTAGGGTTTCTTAAAATATTTTCTTATTTTCAATGTTAACAAATTCTTACATTTAAAGATATTTCTGGAATAGTGTTTTTCTGTTTGTCTTGGAGCATTCAGGTAAAAATATGTATGAGGTGCAAGCTTTTAAAACAATATTAGTGTACACGTGAAGTTTTGAGGAAGAAAAAAAAAACCTTGTATTTTGGCTGCATAACACAGCTTCTTGCCTTTTGAACTGCCGGAAGCCACCCAGCTGATAGCAGCCTGATAAAGGCTTGCTTACAGCTTCCTTAAGGACTATCTATGCGTCTGCTAAGGCGAAGTAGAACTCGCAAAGTGTATTCAGCAAGAAGTGGTAAATCAGTGAAAAATACACTTATGCAAAACTGAGATTTTCCATAGATTTTAATTTTAGTCAGATTGATTTCAGCTTTCTTTGGTAACGCTCTTTGGCGTCGGACTAAGCTGAACTTGAAAAATTTTGATCGGTTGAACAGAAATTTCCTTTGGGATCAGTTCATTGTTTGGGTCACTCCGTCACCTGGCACTGTGCCTGGCACACCTGGGCATTCAATTCTCATGTCACTCTCCCTTTGCCTAGATTTCCCTTCCCTGTGAATGCTGTTTTCTTGTGGTTTGCGTTTTTATCTGAAATATTGGCATTTACCTGGGACAAAACTAGCGTGTGTTAAAGGGGCCACTCTGCAATACACAAAACACGTAGAACTGAAATTGCTAGATATATATGCACTATATCTCTGTCACTGATGCAGATCCAGCCCTAGTACCTGCAAGTTTTAATTTTAATCTGGAGGATAAAAAATTGGCATCTTCCTTGCATCTGAATTTCTGGGTGTGATGAGAGGAGATATTGATTCTGAAAAAATCTGTTTGTATATCTGCCTTTCCAGGAATCATTTATTTTAACTAAAAGCAGCCTTGAAGCCAAGAAATGATAGGGGGATAGCCCATCACTGAATAGGTGATACAGTCAGAGGAGAGATGGGCTTAAATGGAAATTAGCTAGGTTCTGCAACATCACTGATCCAGTACTTGCAGCATGTTGTGGAAACCCCACTTTCAACTCCAACTTTTTTTTCTTGCATTTACCAGCAACACCTGAATATTCTGTGTGTAGGGAACCATGCTAGCTACCACAGGCAAGATCTGTAGACACTGTGGTGGCTGAAAGGAAGAATATAATACATATATATCCTTATAGAGTATGAACTCCGATGGTAAAAGAAGAGAGGAAAAGCAGGACTAACAACACACTTGTGTTGAGATGGCAGCATTAGGCTGATGTATTCTAACTCCAAGTCAATCCTGACTAAGAGGTCTAAGTTCCATGAGACAGTGCTTCTCAGAATAGTGATCTGTGTGATTATAGGAATGTTATTAACTAGAAACTGTAGATTGATATTTTAGAGATTTTTAAAATGATTTCTGCGAAGATAGAAAAAAGTTCTGATAATTTTGTAGAAAGTGTTTGCTTGTAGAATAGCAGAGCAAAATTTCACCAGTCTGGAGAAAGTGTTTAAACTGTGATTTAAAGGGACTGGACAATCATGTTTGAGTTGGTGTAACTCACATCATGTTTCAGACAAACCAGGTAAGCTACACCAGGCTGTACACTTTTTCTTTCCTGGAGAGAGAAAGAAAAAAAAAAAAAAAAAAAAGATGGACACCAGAAAGTGTTTGTTCTGAACTTCAGTTAATTAGAATTCTCTATATGGATTTACAGTTCACTTAGTAATCACTGATGCCTTTGAAAATGTAAACTTTTATTAAATCAGTGTATTGGAAATAGTATTTCAGTAATATATGACGATAAATGAGTGTCCTGTTTGTGTAGGTGTATCATGACCATGCAGTAATTCTTAATGTGTGAACTTTACACGTTGTATAAAGGCACAAGGCAATCTTGTGTTCTTTACTTTGAAAACAGCACGTGGGAATATCGCATTTAAAGGTGTTGCCCTGTGCCTGGTGTGGATACGGTCATCCCTGCAAGCGCTACACTTTGCTGGCTTTGAGTACTGAATGATTTTGAATCAGTCTTTTATAGAGTTATGTTTAAGGGTGAACTTGTTTTGACTTGTTATAAATGTCTATTAGTAATATAGTTCCTCTAAGATGTCATTATTTTATTGAAATATTATTCCAGACTTATGTTGTGTGCCATGTTTAGGGCTACATAGCTACTTTGCATCCCATTCATGCTATGCTGGAAGTACTTTGGGATAATTTCCATTGAAGTAACGAAACAAAACCAGCATGTACCAATTTCACCCTACATATGATGGAGAAAGAGTGATTTCAGTTAGAAGTATTCTGGAACAAGATGTACTCTGGAACAAGATGTTCTGAACATACTTGGAAAGTGATACAGAAATAAAACATTGTGAGTCAGTAAGAATAGTAAAACTACCCTTTAATCTTGGTTTTCTATTTACTTTAGAGGTAGAATTGATGAGCAATAGTAGGAAAAATACTTGTAACTTTTGATGACTTCTCCACTCAAGAGTGATTTTTTTTCATGCCTGAAATATTTTACAGTAACTTCATGGAGCTGCTTGCAATTCAAAGCTTGCTGGTATTTTCCCACATATCAGTTGGCCTAACAAGAAATCTCACTCATCGCTACAAACCGCACATAATTTATTTTGAGCACTGTGTATATTTTGATTTGCTTGACATTAAGTGATCATTTCATATATGCATGGACGAGCTTTCCACTGTAGTCCAACAGATCTCCACAGAGAAAACCTAGATCAACTCAACAGGACTGCGTGTCCTTCTCTCTTGCACTGAAACCTGTATTTTCCTAAACTTCTAATGCTGACCTTAGTTCTTGGGTGAGGAAGGTGAATTTTTGTTGTTTCCTGCCCATGCTGATACCTTTTTCCTCTGCATTTCATCTCCAATAGCTAGGGTACACTTAAGGAAGAGAAACTGTCAGATCCCCAGGGACCTTGGTGAATGTTTCAGCACAGGAAGCAAGATGCCTGTTACTGTGGTATCTGATAGTTTTACCTCCTGCTGGGTCAAATTTGATTGTCAAACACATCGGCGATGGTGTAAAACACAAGGTGATAAGTGAAGGGATGGCTTGTGATATATAATGACATCCTGGTGCTCCTGACAGCTTCACTTGTCCTTATCATGGGGTGCAGAAAAGATGCATCGTCAAATATGCTATTTGCATAAGAATGACAGTATGTGATAGGACAAATGAAGATTAATGAGAGCCTGTGCTGTCAGTGTTACTCACTGTCTCTAAATTGATGATGGTCTGGATTGCATCGGTGTTCATGGGCTTCAAGAGTAGCTCAAACCAGAAGCTCTACTGATACTTAATACTGAATCTTTAAAAAATACTTTTTTAGTACAGTTTGGCTTCTAATCTTGAAGTATCTTGCGTGCTAGTATAAGAACATGTGTTCTGTGGATTGTACCAGTGCAGAGGATTTTTGCTGCCTCCTTTAGAACAGTTATATTGCTTTAAAAGCATCATACTCTCCAGCCTGCCTCCTTACCTTCTCTCTTCCACCCTTTCTTCCTTTACCCTGAAGTCTTCAGTCCACACTGTTCTGCAGAGAAGCTCAGTTGACTTCAGTGTCTTAACTGCCGGAGTTCAGCTTATTTCATTTAAGAACCATGTGGATATTGAGTTTTCTAGACTGCTTATAGGAACATAATAAAACTGCAGCCAATATTCGTCCTAGCAACTGCCAACTATGGGGAAATAGAATAAAACTTTTCTCCCCTGTGGTTCATTTGGGCTTTGGAGGAGTTCTCTTGGTCAGAGAAGTCAAACAGAGGTTTGACAAGTGAATTTGACCCTTAAAATGGTGATTACTGTGTGCAATTTTGGGACAACCTTAATTTAAAGTGGCTTGTTTTGATGAAAATAAAAAGTCCATGATAGAGCCATTTGGCAGAATCAGTAAAGAAATTATAATTTCTTGCCTGCAGCAAAAGTAAACAATCTTTCCTCTTTTAAAACATCAAAGTTCTGTCTTTCTGAAGGCTTATGGAAGAAATTCAAATATTTAGGTTTGCAGTTTTACAAGTTAAAAGAAATAGGAAAGAATCTGGCATATTTATTCATTATTGTCTGGAAATGAGTAGGTGCTGTTGTAAAGCAGGTGATACTAGATGCATGCTTAGCAGTCAGATGCAGTAGCATTAACTTAACTCATTACACATATTATATTGTTCTATTTGCGTATTTGTTTGTGTGTGATTTCCAT